TTTAAATTATTTGAAATGCAATTAATCTGTTCCAGTGGAATTCTGTACTTCAATAATTTCGCTAATATCAACTCTACGGCTTATTTATCTATCTCACTTCATCTATTATGACAATAAACAATATAAATAACATAGAAACCTGATATATACTCTAAAATGAATAAAATATGTAATTCATGTAGTGGTATGGGTGGTGTCGGTGGTGGGCGAGGGTTTGTCTGGAGACCAGACAGAATACTTCTTGAATAATTTCGCTAATATCATCTATATGGCTTATTTATCTATCACAGTTCATCTAATATGACACAGCAAGCAATATAAATAACATAGAAACCTGATATATACTCTAGAATGAATAAAATGTCATTATATATGTGGCGGCTGTGGTGGCCGCCGCCACATGTATAATGACAAGGAGTATTTTGTCCTGTCTGGAGACAGGACAAAATACTCCTTGAATATTTCACTATCATCAACTCTACGGCTTGCTTATCTGTCACAGTTCATCTAATGTGAAATAATAAACAATATAAATAACGTAGAAACCTGATATATACTCTAGAATGAAGAAAATATGTCAATATGTAACAGGTGGAGGCGGCCACAACCGCTCCCTCTGTTGTGGTAAACAGTGCCATCTAATGACAGCCTTTTGAAGCCGTCTATTATTATAATTATTATTATGTAGTACATTATTATCATATGTATTATTATACATATTATTGTTATTATTGTATTATATTATTATACATATTATTGTTATTATTGTATTATATTATTATACGAATTATTATTATTGTATTATACTATTATTATTATACATATTATTATTATTATTATTATTATTATTACCCTGCCTTGGTGGGAGACGGCCGACTTGTTGAAAAAAAAAAAAAAATACATAATTTGTAATTTTTATTCACATAAAAAATGTAAGATTTACTGTTATGCCTTATTGCAATAATTGTATAAATAATGTCAACCCATTCACGACTGCATATTAGAATGGACAGTAACGTCATTTGTTTACTCTTGAAATTAGCCAAGCAATCGAACATTTCTCTTACGTTGAGCTCAATTTCAAGGTACTTTTCGTTGCGAAAGCATTCAAAATCATATCTATTTCTGTAATATATCTTCCATTCTATCAAATGAGACCAAAAAAACGAGAATACAATCATAAAAACCATACGAAAATACCGCTAAGGGGTGGCTAATTGAGGAGAAGTGAACTCCATTGTTTATGCTCCAATTTCTTTCATTTTTGGTGTACGTTAAGATGCATTCTTTCCATCATACATTGCCCAAGTTTCAATAAGATAGCCCAACAAACAAATGAAATACAATTTCCTACATCAAGAGCAACAGCCCCTCACCAGCGTCAAGGAACCTGCCCAAAAAATCGACCCATCGACTGCTCGTATTTGGAGAAACTCGCACGTGGATGCGCTCGCAAGTAGAGGTTCCATTGTACAACCATGCGAAAATACTCCACAAAGTTGAGCTTACACCATAAACATGGTTGCAGTTTTTTTTTTTTATTATGTACTGCTTGCTGCAGGATTTTTTTATATGATTCACACTTACCACACAGACCTATTCTCTCATATGTAGGCCCAAATTTACTGGTCACAGCTTATCTGAGTGAGCTGATCTCGTGGTGACCGACAGTGGCTTCAGAGCCACTTTATCTTTTATGGACAGTGTATGGTGTATGTGCTTTACATAATGAAATGCATTTGTTTTACTCTTTGGAACCATGGCTGGGGCTAAAAGTGAGTAGGTTATAACAATAAATGGAGAAAAAGAAATTGGAATGACTTATACAGCAAGTAGTGGCAGGTTGGTGTGGCAACCCCAGAAATCTGAAATTATGGTAGTTAAAATTAGTGCCAGTACTAGAAATACTGCATTGGATTACGATGATAGAATGTTCGAATATAAGATACCAATATGACAGTCATATGATTCAAAGTGTGCTAATGTATAAGTTGAGCTGACTTTGTTAATTTAATAATTTTTAATTATTCTTTTTGTTTTATATGTACAGTCACTGATGCTGCTAGACTACTGTTTTTTTTTTTTTTTTTTTTTTTTTTTTTTAGCTGCTACTGTTCTTGGATAATATCTCTTAGAAGAGTTTGTCTAGACTCCAAGCTTAAAATATTTATCCAAGTTTGTAATATGATACTCTCTCTCAAATTACAACAGTGTAGAACCTCAGTACTGGTCCATTTAACCCTTATCCCTTTCAGGGTTGGTGCCATACTAGTACGGCTTGCACGCCAGGGTTGGTGCCGTACCAGTACGCATAAATTCTAGCACCTTCAAATCTAGTGAGAGAAAGCTGGTAGGCCTATATATGAAAGAATGGGTCTATGTGGTCAGTGTGCACAGTATATAAAAAAATCCTGCAACACACAGTGCATAATGAGAAAAAAAGACTACGACCATGTTTTTGCTTTAAAACAGCGACTTTGCAATGTATTTTCATGTGCTATTTATGGTTGTATTCTAGTTTTCCTGGTCTCATTTTATAGAATGGAAGACATATTACAGAAATTGAGATGAATTTGATTGGTTTCACAATGAAAAGTGCCTTGAAATTGAGCTCAAAGTAGCAGAAATGTTCAATTTTTGCCAAAGTTCAAAAGTAAGCAAATCATGCCATGTGTCCAATACACGTCAACTGGTGAGTCTAATATTCTTTCACAAGTGCACTGATATTATTTATACCATTTCTACACTAATGCAGTAGTCTGCATAACAGTAAATCTTCTATTTTATTTGTGAGAATGAAAATTCAAAGTGGAGAGCAAAAGAAATGTAAGAGAGGCCTGGGGATATGACTAATGAACAGCAAAAATGGTATTTTAGTGCCAGGAATGTCTGTCTTGTTTATTCTGGACCCTATTTGGAAATTGGCACCTTTTGAAATTTGTGTGAAATTGGCAAAATTGCCAATCTCTGACCACTTTATTGGATAGTTGAAATCAGTAAATGGGTGGTTTCTTGTACTCATTCGATAGAAAAAATGGAGTTCTAGCGAAATCATGATTATGATTTTTGTCGACTGGTACATTGGAATTGGCGGAAAATAGGGCTCAAAGTGGGCATTCCCTCCGAAAAATTTCCGACCCTGAGAACAAGTTTAGGAGAGGGCCTGCTGACCCTGAAAGGGTTAAACTCTTCAAACGTAGATCTGCGTTCACGTGCATAGCGCTCCGAACTTTCTATTTTACATGCTTTCGGAGCGCTACACATGTAAACAAACGTAGGTCTATGTTTGGACAGTTTAACCCTTTCAGGGCCCGTGCCGTTGATCTACGGCTTTACGTTCAGGGTCCAAACCGTAGATCTGCGCCATGAGCTCAGTTCACTCTGATAAGCTGTGAGCAGTAAATTTGGGCCTAGATATGAGAGAATATATCTGTGGTATGTGTGCACCACATAAAACATATCCTGCAGCACACAGTGCAAAATGAGCGAAAAAAAATGAGACCATAATTTTCGATTAAAACAGTGACTTTGCAGTGTTTTTTCGTAAGTTTTTTTATAGTTGTATTTGCAATTTCGTGGTCTCATTTGATAGAATGGAAGATATACTACAAAAATAAAGATGATTTTGATTGGTTTTAGTACTGGAAATGGCTTTAAACTGAGCTCAAAGTAGCAGAAATGTTAAATTTTTGCCGATGTTCAAGAGTAAACAAATGACCTCACATGTTTACATGGCAGCTGGTGGGTCTAATATACATTCACAAATGTGGTGATGTTATTTATAAAATTATTACAGTATTGCATAACAGTAAATCTTCTATTTTTTTTGGTTTGAATAAAAATTCATTATGTGAATAAAAAATAAAAATGGAATTCATTTGTAAAGCCTGAAAATGTAACTAATGAACAGAGGAAATGTTGGTTTAGTGCCAGGAATGCCTATATTGTTTATTCTTGACCCTATTTTGAAATTGGAATATTTTGAACTTTGCATTAAATTGGCCAAATTACCAATTTCCGGTCACTTTATTTTGTTGTTGAAACAGTTGACTTGGCGATTTCTTGTGCTCAATCGATAGAAGTAATACTAGTGAAATAGCTAGGAATTTGGTTGACTGGAATACTGTAATTGGCCTAAAATGGGAGTCAAAGTTGGCAAAATCGCCGATGCGTAAATATTGCCGACACTTCAGAATTCGCGAGAACATAATTTCGTCAATTTTCCATCAAATTTCGTAGTTTTTGTTTTATTACCTTCAGAAAAAGATTCTCTACCATTTCATAAGAAAAAATAACAAAATTATTTTTTTGAAAATTCTTGGGCCCTGGTACACACTTTGTAGTAATTTGGCCTCTGGACCCTGAAAGGGTTAAGGGTTAAAGTATTAGCTTGTAATGTATCTCCAAACTTTACTGTCAAACATAAGAATAGTCTTTAGAAATCTAGACGAAAGATTTTCAAAAAACACATCTCTACATCAAGCGACTAATCTTGGATTATGCAAAACCAGTGTGGAACTCATGTTTAGTAAAACAGTGAAAATAGAAAAAATCCAAAGGTATGAATCCAGACTGAGAGGACTACTATGTAGATGTATCAGAAAAATAAAATGCTTCAGGGCATTCATAAACTATACATATCTAAGCCACAGAAGAAAGAAAAATGTTTCTTTAGAGTAAAAAGAAGTAAAGAGATGAAATGGGCTGGACAGTGACACTGGCTAACGAGAATTAACCAACTGAACCCAACCCAACCTGAAATGATTTGTAATCGAAGTGTGTTTGTTCAGAAAACTTAGCCTGAGTGTATCATTGCATCTATAGCCAGTGCCATTTTCTATTCATTACTGTATTATGACATCACTCATAATTAGTGCGGCTCCTCTGTCCATAGATTTCTACTACCATTGTGCTACATAAATAACCATTCTGATATTATATCGTTTGACTGTTTAAAATACTGTAGCGGCCTTTTAATTTTATATTTTACTTTTCTTCAGGTAATTGAACGTGAGGCCCTCTTGAATGTTGCACTAGATCAGCAGTTAGTATCTCTCTTGGTCCAGTGTGTTGCCGAGTTCTCCGAAGGACGCTTTACAAACCTTGGTTGTTCACTGCCGTCTCTGCTGGAATGGTCATGGTCTCGAGTGTCTGCAATCAAGACTGCAAACGACAGTCTTAGTGAGTAGCTTTTTTCACTTTCATAGATAATCTGGGTAGTATAATAGTTATTTATGTTAGCACTTGTTAATGCTGTATTACTTATTTCTTCCTCTTTCAGTGAACTTTCATACATGCTTTTGTTAACAGTGGCTTCCCTACTTACAACCTTAATGCATTCTTAAAGGGTATTTGTTATTCGAGTGTTGAGAACCTTCTTTCCCATGGCACCTGTGTTACAATGAGAGATGTATTTTTGAACCATTTTATTCCATATTTAATTTAATTTAACTTTTCACCAATGAAACTAAACAATATACATGTATAGTAATCAGATGAGTCCTATCTAACCTTCCTCTTTCTTTTCCCTCCCTCCTATTTCTTTTGTCTTTCTCTTCTCACATTCCTTCTCTCCTATTCACTAATTGCATGGAGAAGGGATGGTTGTGGTATGAGAATCTGTAAACTGAGCAAGGATTAGGATGGGAGATACAGGAGGGTCACTCACCCATTTCCTCCAACCTCCACGTTATCCTGAGAGATGGGAATTCCCAAGTGATAACTCTAGCTGTACTTGAAGGGAACCTTTGAAGCCCACAAAGCTAATGAACCTTTAACCCGTAAACGGTCCAAACGTATATATACGTTTTTTCAACATTTGAAAGTATGTAAAAAAAGTAGATCTTTTTTTTGTTTTTTTACATTTGAAAATGTGTAAAAAACTTCTATCTACTTTTTTTGTTATATTTTATATTATATATTATTTTGTTATATTTTATATTATATTTTTTGTTATATTTGTTATATTTGGAGAGCATTTAAATCGGTAGAAGGAAGACTGGGTAGGGGTCGTCCTCGAAAAGGTTGGAAGGAAGGGGTAAGGGAGGTTTCAGGGACGAGGGGCTTGGACTTCCAGCAGGCGTGCATGAGCATGTTTGATAGGAGTGAATGGAGATGAATGGTATTTGCCACCTGACGATCTGTTGGAGTGTGAGCATGGTAATATTTAGTGAAGGGATTCAGGGAAACCGGTTATTTTTATATAGCCGGACTTGAGTCCTGGAAATGGGAAGTACAGTGCCTGCACTCTAAAGGAGGGGTTTCGGGATATTAGCAGTTTGGAGGGATATTTTGTGTATCTTTATATGTATATGCTTCTAAACTGTTGTGTTCTGAGCACCTCTGCAAAAACAGTGATTATATGTGAGTGAGGTGAAAGTGTTGAATGATGATGAAAGTATTTTCTTTTTGGGGATTTTCTTTCTTTTTTGGGTCACCCTGCCTCGGTGGGAGGTGGCCGACTTGTTGAAAAAAAAAACTGAAAATATGTAAAAAAAAACGTAGATCTACTTTTGTAGCGCTACACATGTGAACGTAGATCTGCTTGGACCATTTACAGGTTAATGGAATATAGGTGCTTGATATTGGCAGTTTGGGGAGATATATTGTGTATTTTTATACGTATATACTTCTAAGCTGTTGTATTCTGGGCACCTCAGCAAAAAGTGATTATGTGTGAGTGAGGTGAAAGTGTTGAATGATGATGAAAATATTTTCTTTTTGGGGATTTTCTTTCTTTTTGGGTCACCCTACCTCGGTGGGAGACGGCTGACTTGTTGAAAAAAAAAAAATGGTGCTTGATATTCTCATTGACCTGAAATATTATGATGTTATTTTAAATTGTTGTCTGTTGCTTTAGAAAAACTGCTTCATTTTTTTTAACATGTTGGTCGTTTCCCACCAAGGCAAGGTGACCCAAAGAGAACGTTCATCATTCAACACTTTCACCATCACTCATACATAATCGCTGTCTTTACAGAGGTGCTCAGATATGGCAGTTTAGACGTTCCTCCAAATTGCCAATATCCTAAACTCCTTTAAAGTGCAGGCATTGTACTTCCCATTTAACATAAGAACATAAGAAAGGAGGAACACTGCAGGAGGCCTGCTGGCCCATACTAGGCAGGTCCTTTACAATTCATCCCACTAACAAAACATTTGCCCAACCCAATTTTCAATGCCACCCAAGAAATAAGCTCTAATGTGAAAGTCCCACTCAAATCCAACCCCTCCCACTCATGTACTTATCCAACCTAGATTTGAAACCACCCAAAGTCCCAGCCTCAATAACCCAACTAGGTAGACTGTTCCACTCATCAACTACCCTATTTCCAAACCAATACTTTCCTATGTCCTTTCTAAATCTAAACTTATCTAATTTAAATCCATTACTGCGGGTTCTCTCTTGGAGACGCATCCTCAAGACCTTATTAATATCCCCTTTATTAATACATATCTTCCACTTATACACTTCGATCAGGTCTCCCCTCATTCTTCGTCTAACAAGTGAATGTAACTTAAGAGTCTTCAATCTTTCTTCATAAGGAAGATTTCTAATGCTATGTATTAATTTAGTCATCCTACGCTGAATGTTTTCTAACGAATTTATGTCCATTTTGTAATACGGAGACCAGAACTGAGCTGCATAATCTAGGTGAGGCCTTACTAATGATGTATAAAGCTGCAGTATGACCTCTGGACTTCTGTTGCTTACACTTCTTGATATAAATCCCAGTAATCTATTTGCCTTATTACGTACGCTTAGGCTGGTTTAAGGTTGCTGCTCACCATAACCCACAAGTCCTTTTCGCAATCTGTATGGCTAAGTTCTACATCATTTAACTTATAAGTACTCTAGGGTTATGGGCACTCCCAAGCTTCAGAACCTTGCATTTATCTACATTGAACTGCATCTGCCACTTTTCTGACCAAGAATAGAGTTCGTTTAAATCCTCCTGAAGTTCCATAACATCTACGTTTGAATCAATTATCCTACCTATCTTTGTGTCATCGGCAAATTTGCTCATATCACTAGTAATTCCCTCATCAAGATCATTGATATATATTATAAACAACAATGGGCCCAAGACTGATCCCTGTGGAACGCCACCTGTTACAGATCCCCACTCGGATTTAACCCCATTTATGGACACTCTCTGCTTCCTGTCGGTGAGCCATGACTCGATCCACGAGAGCACTTTTCCCCCAATGCCATGAGCTGCCACTTTCTTTAACAGTCTATGGTGCGGAACTCTATCAAAAGCCTTACTAAAATCTAAGTAAATAATATCAAATTCTTTATTGTGGTCAACAGCCTCAAAAGCTTTACTGAAGAAAGTTAATAAATTAGTTAGACAAGACCGGCCTCTTGTGAATCCATGCTGAGTATCATCAATCAAGCTATGCTTATCGAGATGGCTTCTTATAATCTCAGCTATAATTGACTCTAGTAATTTGCCTACAATTGAGGTCAGGCTTATTGGGCAGTAATTTGACGGTAACGACTTGTCCCCTGTTTTAAAAATAGGAGTTACATTAGCCATCTTCCACATATCAGACACTACACCTGTTTGAAGAGATAAATTAAAAATATTAGTTAATGGTTCATAGAGTTCCATTTTGCATTCCTTAAGAACCCTTGAAAAAACCTCATCAGGACCCGGCGACTTATTTTGCTTCAGTCTGTCTATCTGCTTCACAACCATCTCACTAGTGACTGTGATGTTACATAATTTATCTTCTTCTAGCCCACTCGAATCTGGCTCACCAGTATCCCTGAATCCCTTTACAAAATGTTACCCTGCTCGCACTCAAATAGCTCGTCAGGTCCCAAAAATCATTCATCTCCATTCATTCCTATCTAACATGCTCACACACGCTTGCTGGAAGTCCAAGCCCCTCGCCCACAAAACCTCCTTTAACCCCTCCCTCCAACCTTTTCGGGGATGACCCCTACCCCACCTTCCTTCCCCAACAGATTTATACACTCCAAGTCATTCTGCTTTGTTCCATTCTCTCTAAATGACCGAACCACCTCAACAATCCCTCGTCATCCTTCTGACTAATGCTGTACTTGTAGTAACTCCACACCTAATTTCCACACTACAAATTCTCTGCATAATATTTACACCACACATTACCCTTAGACACGACATCTCCACTGCCTCCAGCTGCCCCCTCGCTGCAGCATTTACAACTCATGCTTCACACCCATATAAGAGTATTGGTACTACTATACTCTCATACATTCCCTTCTTTGCCTCCATATATAACATTCTTTGTCTCCACAGATACCTCAATGCATCACTCACCTTTTTTCCTTCATCAGTTATGTTGTTTACCTCATCCTTCATAAACACATCTGCTGACAAGTCAACTCCCAAATATCTGAAAACATTCACTTCTTCTATACTCTCTCCCTCCAATGTGATATCCAATTTTTCTTTATCTAAATTGTTTGATACCCTCATCACCTTACTCTTATCTAATATTCACTTTCAACCTTTACACACACTCCCAAACTTGTCCACTAACTTTTGCAACTTTAGAATCCCCAGAAGCACAATATCATCAACAAAAAGTAACTGTGCCAACTCCCATTTTGTATTTCATTCCTTGTAATTTAATCCCAGCCCTCTCCCCAACACCTTAGTATTTACTTCTTTTACAACCCCATCTGTAAATATGTTAAGCAACCATGGTGACATTACACATCACTGGCTAAGACCTACTTTTACTGGGAAATAATCTCCCTCTCTCCTACACACCCTAACCTGAGCCTCACTATCCTCATAAAAACTCTTTACAACATTTAGTAACTTACTACCTATTCCTTACACTTGCAGCATCTGCCACATTTCTCCCTTATCCACTCTATCATATGCCTTTTCTAAATCCATAAATGCAATAAAAGCTTCCCTACCTTTATCTGAATATGGTTCACATACATACTTTAATGAAAACACCTGATCTACACATCCCCTACCCATTCTATATCCTCCTTGCTCATCTGCAGTCCTGCTCTCTGTCTTACCTCTAATTCTTTCAATAATAACCCTGCCATACAATTTACCTGGTATACTCAGTAAACTTTTTCTTTCTTTTTTCAACACACCAGCCGTATCCCACCGAGGCATGGTGGCCCAAAAGAAAAGAAAAAAACAAAAATTTCTCCTTTTAAATTTAGTAATAAACACAGAAGGGGTTACTAGCCCCTTCCTCCCAGCATTTTAACCGCCTCTTACAACATGCATGGGTTACGGAGGAAAAATTCTATTCCACTTCCCAATGGAGATGAGAGGAAATAAACCAGAACAAGAACTAGTAAGGAAATAGAAGAAAACACTAAGGGGTGTGTATATATATGCTTGTTCATGGAAGTGTAGTGTGACCTAAGTGTAAGTAGAAGTAGCAGGACATACCTGAAATCTTGCATGTTTTTTCTTCTTTCAACAACTCGGCCGTATCCCACCGAGGCAGGGTGGCCCAAAAATAAAAACAAAAGTTTCTCCTTTCAAATTTAGTAATTTATACAGGAGAAGGGGTTACTAGCCCCTTGCTAGTAGCAAGTACTCTCTCCATTGGTTTAAAACTCCTCACACACTTGCTCATAATTTCCTAAAATCTTTCTCTCTTCTCCAGGTGCATAAACACTTTTCACATCCTCCCCTTATTTTACTCCACATAATCCTTGAATTTATACATTTATATTCCTTCTTTTCCTGCCATAACTTATCCTTTGAAATTTTTGCTACTCTTTCCGTAGCTCTAACTCTATTAGAAACCCCTGACCTAATCTCATTTATTTCTCCCCACTGAAACTCTCCTTTACCCTTCAGCTTTGTTTCACTTAGAGCCGGGACATCCATCTTCTTTTCATTCATAACATCCACAATCATCTCTTTCTAATCATTTGTACTACAATCACTGCAACATCTGCTTCATGTATTGCAAAAGAAATTAAAAGCATTAATTAGTTAGGTGTGTGTCACTGGTATATTTATTTAGAGCTTTATGAACAGGATTACTGCTTTTTATGTGGGAATCCCACAGATATACAGTGCAGCGGAAGCAGTGCTTGGTATACCTGGAGGATGTTCCGAGGGTCACTGCCCCCGCAGCCCAGTCCATGACCAGATAATAAGAATCATGCAGTAAGTGATGGGCAGGTGGAGACGTGGCCTGCATAATAGGAGAGAACATAAACTTGAAAAGATATAGCTTGAGCTGATAAAGGAATTTGCTGTACAAGTTCTATGCTCTAACTGGGGATTTGGCAAAAAAAAAAAAAAAAAATTATAATAGTAAAATATATGTAGACTGTATTCAGACAGAATGAATATTCATGAGCACTTTAGCATGCATTGAGTATTAATTTTTTATATTGTCCTGAAATTTCTGTTATTTTCCTTGATTAATGAATTCTGACTATATTATGTTCAGGTTTTCCATTATTTGATCCTGATGGTGGAGTGATGAGTTCTGAGAGCATTACAGCACTTCACCAAAACCTGACGAGTCTTGCCTCCCTCACCACTATCATCACCACCATTCGTGATTATGCAAACACAAACATGATCACACTGCAGGGTAAGAAAGCTTCTGATTAAGATAATGAATATTAATTTATCAATTCTTCTGAATCAGTTTCCCATCCATTAAGATCAGACTTTTGAAGAGAAATAATGATAATGTAGTACAGTACAGTGGAACTCCAGTATTCACTGATTCGGTATCCATGGTTTCAGTTATCCACAGTTTACCATGGCCCAAAAAATGACCCTTAATTTTGCTTAATAATGGCCCCAAAGTGCAAAAGTAGACAGTTCTTCAAAGCCTTGGAGAAGCTGTGAAATGCTTCCCATCTGAAAATGTACTAATTCTAGACTTATTTTGCATACTTTCCCAATTAAACTTTATCATAGGTATGTATGTAAATGCAAAAATGACTTTTATATAAGGTTCACTACTATCCACGATTTCAGGTATCCACGGTAGGTCTTGGAATGTATCCCCTGTGGATATGGGGGTCCTACTATATACATTAGAAGGTGGTGTGGGGTTTATAAAAATATTATCCAGAGGGCAGAAAAACGGTTGTTAAGGTGGTTTGGACATATAGAGAGGATTGAATGAAACAGAATGACTCGGAGGGCATATAAATTTGTAGTGGAAGGAAGGTAGAGTAGGGGTTGTCCTAGGAAAGGTAGGAGGGAGGGGGTAAAGGAGGTTTTGTGTGCAAGGGGCTTGAACTTCCAGCCAGTGTACATGAGTGTTAGGTAGGAGCTAGTGGAGATGTGCTGTTGGAGTGTGAGGAAAGTAACATGTATGAAGGGATTCAGGGAAATCAATTAGCTGAATTTGAGTCTTGGAGATGGGAAGTACAGTGCTTGCACTCTGAAGGAGGGGGAGCTGATATGTTGCAGTTTTTTTTAACTGTAGTGTAGGCATGCCTCTGGCAAGACAGTGATGGAGTGACTGATGATGATGAAAGTGTTTTTTCTTTTTTTGATCACCCAGCCTTGGTGGGAAATGGCCAATGTGTTAACCCCAAATCCTGAGGTGTCTCCTGGTATTGCAAAATTTCCAGGAAAAAAAAAATATTTTTTCTTATGAAATGGCAGAGAATCTTTTCCCAATTGTAATGACACCAAAAGAACGAAATTTGATGGAAAACTGACGGAATTACGCTCTCACAAAGTTAGCGACCGTGGCTATATTTACGAATCGGCGATTTCGCCCAATTTGAGCCCTATTTTTTTGCTAATTCCATTGTTCCACTCTACCAAACTCATAGCTATTTCTTTAGAACTCCATTTTTTCTATCGATTGAGTACAAGAAACTGCCCATTTACCGATTTCAACTACCCAATAACATGGTCAGAAATTTACAATTTCGCCAATTTCACGAAAAATAAAAAATATGACAATTTCAAAATAGGGTCCAGAATGAACAATGCAGACATTCCTGGCTCTAAAATAACATTTTCTTTGTTCATCAGTCATGTCTCCAGGTCCCTCTGATATTACTCTTGCTTTCTATTTTGAATTTTTATTCAAACAAAAAATATAAGATTTGCTGTTATGCAGACTACTGTAATGTTGTAATAATTGTATAAATAATGTCAACCCATTCATGACTGCATATTAGAATAGCTACTTGGACATTTATTGGAAAATGACATTTGTTTACTTTTGAACATCGGCAAAAATCAAACATTTCCCCTACTTTGAGCTCCATTTCAAGGTTCTTTTCATAGTAAAACCAATCAAAATCACCTCTATAATGAGGATAATGAGGCTTAGGTTGGACTATGTAGGAGAGAGGGAGATTATTTCCAAGTAAAAGTAGGCCTTAGACAAGATGTGTGATGTTACCATGGTTGTTCAGTATATTGATGGGGTTGTAAGAGAAGTGAATGCTCGGGTGTTGGCAAGAGGTGTGGGGTTAAAAGATAAAGAATCTAACACAAAGTGGGCATTGTCAAGGTTGCTATTTGCTGATGACACTGTGCTTTTGGGAGATTCTGAAGAAAGTTTCAGAGGTTGGTGGATGAGTTTGGTAGGGTATGTAAAAGAAGAAAATTAAAAGTGAATACAGTAGGGCCTCACTTATACGGCAGGTCAGGTTCTAAGCTACTGCCGTAAAGTGGAAATCGCCATAAAGTGGAACGCCCTTATTTTCCACTTATGAATGCTAGATAACAAGTTTACACTAACATATATTAAGTTAGCAATAGAACTAGTCATTAAAAAACAATAAAAGAGTAAAATACACATATAGTACATTCATACCTTAAAATATTTCTAGACTTAATGTAGGGCGAGAGGTGAGTAAACGAGATGAAACGAATAAACGAGAGAGTGAATGAGTAAATGAGAGAGGCGACAGAGATGAGGTGGATGTAAATAAACACATGTTTGTATTACACCGTAAGACAAACACTACATTGTGTACATGTAAAGTGTTTGTTTTATGATAATGATATAAGAATAATAATAAATACAATATTGTTTAGCCTAACACAAGCTGTTTCTCTCTCCTCTTCTCTCTCTTCTCTCCTTTTTCTCTTCTCCCCCTCTCTCTCCTCTTCCTCTCTTTTTTTTCCCCTCTTTTTTTTTCTTTCTTTTTTCCCTCTTTTCTTCTCTCTCTTTTCTTTCTCTCTTTTCCTTTTTTTTCTCCCCTTTTCCCTTTTTCTCTTTTTCTCTCTTTCCTTTCTCTTTTCTCTCCTTTCTTCTTTTCTCCCCCCTTTTTTCTCTCTTTCTTCTTTTTCCTCTTTCTTTTTCCCCCTTTCTTTCCTCTTTTCCTCTTTCTCTCTTTCCTTTTTCCCCTTTTCTCCTTCCTCTTTCTCTCTTTCTCTCTTTCCTTCTCTCCCCTCTCTCTCCCCTTCTCTTCTCTCTCTCTCCTCTCCTCTCTCTTTTCTCCCCTTTCTCTTTTCCTCTTTCCCCCCCTTTTTCCTTTTCCTTTCTTTTTTTTTTTTTTTTTTTTTTTTTACACGGGGTTTGACAAGGTTAAGGACCCTAGCTTTATTGCAGCTATATTACAGGTTAAGGATTCCAAATTTTATTGGCAACAAGACGTTACCTAATCAGCTCATTTGAAAGCATTTTTATTTTAGAGACATAAAATACGGGACAGGAGAAGCGGGAGCCTCTGTGGCCAGTTTTTCTTTTTATCAACGATTTACTCTTTGACATCATTATGCTGAAACGAATGTGTTCCATACTCGAGTCACCGGGGATGTATGATCTCAAGGGATGATGTTCGAAAAGGGGTACAGCCAGAGTGAATTGCTGCTTTCTCCCCTCTTGGGGGCATAAAAGTTTTTTTCACCTGTCCCGAAGTGGATGCAAGTGGGGTATTTTTACAATTTTGGCCTTGTACATAACAGAAAGGGCCACCCAACCCTCCTATGTTAAGGCTCTGCTAAAATGACAGATCTACCAGGAGGGGTCCAGGCGAGAGATAGACGTCTTTCTGTTCTCTACTCTGTCAAGCAGTCGCAGTGAGAGGGGCGGGAAAACCCAAAAAAGTGGAGCAACTCAAGGTGCGAGCGTATTTGTGCCTCGACAGGATCTTGCAACCCCACTGCAAGCAGATCAAGATACGGCAATGCTGAAATTTCCCTGGCTGCCTTGTTTGCAAGATTTACAACAGGGTTTCTTCATTTTTATTTTGGAGTAAAATTTCACCCAAAGGAAATCAACTTCTTCTCCAGGGCCAACATCCTCCCATTCACCCTTTACTACTGCACCAGCTTTACCACATGGTGCCTAGAGACATCATCTTTTGCTTTTTCTCAGGGGGCAAATTTTACTTGCCATCTTTTTCCCCAAGCTGATAGCCTCAGCGGGTGATTGAGTATTTAGAGCACTGGCTTTCTTCTCTTGGATAAGTGAATGTCATGTACAGTCCGTCTGCAATCATTGTTTTCTGGGATGAATGAAGGTCGTTGAAGTAGACATCCAAACAAGGCCCACACGTTTCCCTTTGTGGAACCTTCCCCCCCAATAGGGTCTTGCTGATTCCGTTCCATTGAGATACACTTAGAATCTACCAAAAGGAAATCATGGGGAGCCTAGCATGAGCCTGCAATTCCCAGTGCTTGAAGTTTGCTAAAGCCCGGTGCCACCCCCCGGTCGAAAGCGCCAGAAATACCAGTGCTACCACACAGCTGACTTTGGATTCATCCAGTGACTGGTGCCATTTATGGAGAGGTTCAACAACAGACACGCCTATTGACGATCACAAAGTAGTGAGGGGAGTCAAAAAACTCTGTCATTTGCCCTTGAGATTATTGCCCAAAGGGATCTTACCGTGATTGAAAGAGTGAAACGGTCTGTAGTTGCTGTTTTCGCCTGCTCTTCTTTTTGTGAACGGACTACATTGCCTCTTTCCATAGAGGGGGCCATTTTACACTGTATGGCAGTGCTGAAGATCGAGTTGGGGTGCTGCTAGCTGGCTCACATCTTCTCAGAATCTTGGCTCAAATTGCTGGGCCCCCAGCCTTTTTTTTGTCCGCGATTTTAAAAAGGAAAAGCACCCCCCCTCCTGCCTTATTGTCACCCCACATTTTGACACAGTTCTTGCAGCTAGCCAAGGGGGGACCCCTTTCTGGATCAGGGAAATTGCATTTTTTTAGCAAAGTGTTCAGCAAAGAGGCCGCCTCTCTTGACTACTAGTAGAGGTGGGCCCCCCCCTTTTGATTTAGAGGTGGAATAAGTTCTCAGGAGATAACCTTGTCTGCCTTGACCAGGGGCCACCAGGTTTTAGCCACCCACCCGTGAAAAACTTTCTTTTTGTTCCCCCCCCATTTAGCAAAGGCCCACTTTTGAAATCACCCTATGCCACAGGGTTGCTGTGCAAGTTTCCCGTTATAGGTGGGAGGATGTCCTTATACCCTTTGCCATGCTTTGTACTTTGCAGTAGCAGCCTCTCTACAACGAAAGCCAAACCAAAGGCTGATCTGTAGGGTTCGCACATATTTCCGGGGAGGAATTGTTCTTTTGAGATTAAGGATGTGTCCAGTGAAGGCTTTTACTTGTTTCACATCCCCCGGAGAAGAGCATTCCAACGGGGGTGGCGACTCAAGCAAAGGGCGGGCCCAAATTTCCTCTTTCCCATAGCCAGGTTGTCGTGTGGACTCCCACCCGTTCGTTGGGGGTCTTAAATGTCGTAAAAACAGCCTTGTGGTCGAAACCAACTAGCCGAGGGTTTACAAGTGACAAAGCCTTTTGCCCGATCCTCACTACTGGGTCCCAAGGGGGGAGCCAAAATATGATAGGAAATCAACAAAGTTTTTTTCAGTCAAACACTACAAGAAGGTCATCAAAGTCCCCCTTATAAGGGGCTGGGTTTAGGTCACCAACATTATAAATGTTACAGTTGGTTGTACAGAAGGGGTCAATATTTTTCCCTTAGGGAAATTGGGGGTCGCAGTTCCCCGAGGGCTGTAATTGCCGCTAGTACAGAGGGACTAGTTTTATACAAGCTTGAAAACATCATTTCAAAATTGTAGGGGTGGGAAAACCAATTTTTGGGGTGAAAATTTTAAGAAGCACACAGCAACACCTCCTCCCTGCCCTTCCTGTCTCTTCTCACCCTGAGGGGTAGCCAGCATTTTTTGCCAAAATTTTTGGGGTCCTTCACCAAAAAAGTTTTAACAACAGCTATCATTCGGGACGTCATTTCACAAAACTGTGTTGAGCTTCCCCAAAATTAGTGATGAAACCCCAATGTTTGGGCCCACAGGGTGCTATAGCTCTCCTCTATGAAGTGGTCAGCTTTGGGGGGTGGGGGTTTAGGGAATGTAAGGTGCCTGCCCTTGAAGAGGTAGGGACGAGCAGCTCAGGGATTAGGTCCCGTGGTCTTTTATTGGGGAAAAAAAAATGTCCCCTGCCATTTTTTTGCTGCCAAATGTGGCTCAGTTTGGATGCTTCAACTCTTTGGGAAAAATTGGGGACGTTTACTCACCCTCTGCCCCGTCACCTAACAAAAAAAGATACTTGGGTGTTAAAACGACTTTTGGATTGCATCCGAGGGGGGGGTAGTATCCTTTGAGAGGGTTGGGGGTTTTTTTATACTGATGTATGAAACCCCTTTAGCCTGTAAAATTGATTTTTGCAAAAAAAAAAAAAAAAAAAAAAAAGGGGCCCTCAACCCCCCATTCCTTTGAAGAAAAAATCCAAAACAGGCGGTCCATGCTGTGCATCATGGGGTAAAACGCCCAATTAGCATAACAATTAGGACCTGTTGTTCCACCCTGAGCATCACTGTGAACAAACAAGGTGTAATGCATGAAAATGACATAATTATTCCAAATTTCTTTCATTCATGATACAACAGTGGAATCAGCCAATAAGCACACTTATGGATTTAACCTAGGATAACTCAAACAGTAACCCTCGAAATTTTATTTAATTAAAATATTTTCCCGAGACTAACAAAAGGGAAAAAATTTTCGAATGGCAGAACCATTTTCCCCATAAAAATAATGAAATCCAATTAACCTTTCAGACACCCCGAAATATTAACAAAAAAACATTTTAGAGATTAAAATAGATTTTTAATACAGAAAAAAATGAGAAAATCTTAAGAAAGACCTGTGTACATTTGTTAAAAAATTTAAAACCTAAAAAAACTGAAAAAAGTTTTAATTTTTTTTGTCAGATTGTATAATGTAAATACACTAACACACTTATGCCCTTGTTCTGTAAATGATTTTTTTTTTTCCCCCACTTTTAAAACTCCAAAATCCCAAGTTTTTATAGATTCCACTCAGTTAATCAATTCATTTCAAAAGAGCCTCTTTCAGTCGTAAAAAACAAAACATTTCAATATCTGCCACATGCAGGGGTTAAAATTGTGTGTGGCACACAAGGGTTCTGTATAGCTTAGATTCAGTAGGCCCCCCCATCCGTGGGGGAAAACATTTCAAGACCTCCCCTGGATATTAGCATACCCAAATATAAGTTCTGGCAGCCTGTATAAAGTTTAATTTTATAAATTATGCATAATAAGTGGAGAATTTTTAGTTTTTCACAAATGGGAAGCACTTTCAGCTTCTCTTAGGTTTTGAAGAATGGCCAGCTTCTCTACTTTTGCATTTTGGAGCCATTATTATGCAAAATTAAGAGGCATTTTTGGGCCACAGTAAACCATGGATGACTGAAACTGTGGATACCAAATCAGTTGATACGGGGGTTCTACTGTACAGTGGAACCTCAAAAATCGAACGTATCACATCGAATGTTTCGAAAATAGGACCATTTTTTCAGACAAACTGTGTCCCTATTATCAAACGCGCCCCTATTTTCGGACCGCCGGGTACGGGACCTGTCTGCCGCCCGCTCTGTCTGCGTCCCCGTGCAGGCGCCATGAGCAGTGTAGCTTTGTTCATGCTTGAGTGAACACTAACCTGCGCTCTCATTCACACATTTTACGATTATTTCGTTTTGTTTAGTACTTGTGGGACTGGGAAATAAGCTGCCATGGGCCCAAAGAAACTTGCTAGTGGTACCCCTGTGGTAAAGAAAGTGAGAAACACCATAGATGTGAAGAAGGAAATAATACAGAAGTATGAGAGTGGTGTGAGACTTATTGAGCTTGCCAGGATGTATGGGAAAAACAAGTCGACCATCAGTTCTATCCTGTCAAAGAAAGAACAAATCAAGGAAGCTGATGTTGCGAAAGGTGTTAATATAGGGAGTGGATGAGGTGCCTTCTTCAGAGATTAAGGAGATTTGTGCCAAGTGGAATGATGTCCAAATGTTTGTGCAGAAGTACCACCCTGAGCAAGCTGAACAAGCCATCTTTGCCCAAAAAGTTCAGTGACAGAACCATGTCCAATTTTAGGGAAATGTTAAAGAGGCGCCAGAAACAGAGGACTGTGGACAGTTATTTTGTGAGACAGGGGCCCAGTGACTCTCAAGCTGGTCCTAGTGGCATTAAAAGACAGAGAAGGGAAGTAACCCCAGAGAGGGCTTTACCCGAAGTCCTCATTGAAGGGGATTCTCCTTCCAAACACTAACCCCAACTCTCTCTCTCCTCCTCCCTATCTTCCAGATGCCATCACCAATCTTCAATAAAGGTAAGTAAAAATGTTATTTTATATATATTACTATACATAAATAATCCTTTGACTGTTTACGGCATATAAATACGTCTTACGTGCCACTGTTTCAGACATATACATGTATATACTCAATAATTCTAGCAGCTTCAAATCAAGTGGGAGAAAGCTGGTAGGCTCACATGTGAGAGAATGGGTCTGTGTGGTCAGTGTGCACCACATAAAAAAAATCCTGCAGCACACAGTGCGTAATGAGAAAAAAAAACTGACCGTTTTTTTTGGATTAAAACGCCGACTTTGAGGTGTATTTTCGTATAGTATTTATCGTTGTATTCGCGTTTTTATGGTCTTAGGTGATAAAATGGAAAACATATTACAGAAATAGAGATGATTTTCATTACTTTCATGATGAAAACAACCTTGAAACTGAGCTCAAAGTAGCGGAAATGTTCGATTTTTACTAATGTTCAGGAGTAAGCAAATCACACCACACATCCAATACACGTCAACTGGGGAGTCTAATATTCTTTCACTAGTACACTGATTTTTACAATAATGAAGTAGTCTGCATAACAGTAAATTTTGTATTTTTTTGTATGAATAAAAAATCAAAACAGAAAGCAATAATAATATAACAGGGGCCTAGAGATGTGACTAATGAACAGAGGATATGTTATTTTAGTGCCAAGAATGTCTACCTTGTTTATTCTGGACCCTATTTTGAAATTGGCATTGTTTTTGATTTGCGTGAAATTGGCCAAATTGCCAATTTCTGACCACTTTATTGGGTAGTTCAAATCTGTAAATTGGCAATTTCTTGTACTCAACTGATAGATAAAATGGAGTTCTAAAGAAATAGCTATGAGTTTGGTCAATTGGAACAACGGAATTGGCTAAAAACAGGGCTCAAATTCGGCGAAATTGCCGATACGTATATGTCGCCAAGACTGCTAACTTCACGGGAGCGTAATTCCGTGCGTTTTTGACCAAATTTCGAACTTTTGGTGTCATTACCATCAGGAAAAGATTCTCTATCATTTCATAAGTTTTTTTTTTTTTTTTTTTTTTTTTTTTTTTTTTTTTTTTTTTTTTTCAAAAAAATTATCGACATAGAATGACAGTTTCAGAAAGGGGCCTGCGACAGTCAAAGGGTTAAAAACTATAGTATTTGTTGTATGTAAAACTGTAATTAATCTCTATAAAATGTGTTTTTTGTGTGAATATTTTTGGGTTTCTGAAACGGATTAATTGTATTTCCATTATTTCTTATGGGAAATATTCCTTTGAATTTCGGACTTTTCGAATTTAGAACTAGCTCCTGGAACGGATTAAGTTCGATTTTTGAGGTTCCACTGTATTAACTTTATTTTATTTACACCATTAATGATATTTTTACTCATAAGACAGTGGATATATTTTTGTATTTTACAGGTGCTGGTGAATTAGACAGTCGTGTTAAAGTTGTAAGTCTGTTAATGCTACACCTGAGTGTGTTGCTGTGGTTTTACCACTGTGGCCTCCTCTCTCGCTCACCATTGGAGGATGCTATTGAGGAATGTCATGTACCATTTCCTGCTGAGCTCTTGTGTGGCATTTATAAAAACAGGCAAGTACCATTGTAGCTACATATTGATAATACTGTATACATGTTTTCTTTTGTGCAGCATACTTTTTTTTTTTTTTTTAACACGCCAGCCATCTCCAACCGAGGCAGGGTGAACCCCCCCCCCCCCAAATACTTTCATCATTATCCAAAACTTTCACCATCATTCATACCTAATCACTGTCTTTGCAGCATACTTATTATGACAGTAATGTTACAGTTCTGGTAACTGCTGCTGAGAGCCAGCTTACCTTATGTATTATTTCTGGCAAAATATACAGTGGAACCTCTTCTTACGAGTGCATTCACGTGCAAGTTTTTCCAGATACAAGCAGCTGCTCGGTCAATTTTTTGCTTCCAGACGCAAGCAAAATTCCCAGATGCGAGCAGGCCTCAAGGGAGGTTAATTGACACTGGTGATGGGGCCAGCTCTTGATCGGGAATTTGGGTTTTCAGTTGTTTTTTTTGGCTATATTTTTGAAATTTGGGCAATGTATATGAAAAGATGCTTCTTAACCCTTTCGGGGTTTCCCCGACGTATAATGCTTACAGCCAGGTTTTAAAAATACTAGACGCAAAAAATTCTAGTTTTTCAAATCTAGTGAAGAAAGCTGTAGGCCTACCTATAAAGAATGGGTCATTGGCAGTGTCACAGTATAAAAAAAAATCCTGCACACACAGGGGGCATAATGAGAAAAAAAAAACTCCAACGTTTTTCGTTTAAAACACAACATTGCTTTTTATTTTTGTATGTATTTATTTTTGTATTCTAGTTTTCCTGTCTATTGTATAGAAGGAAACTTTTTACAGAAAGAGAGTTTTTGATTGGTTTCAAAAATAAAAAAGTCCCTTTGAAATTAAAGCTCAAAAAGCAGAAATGTTCAATCTTTGCCAAATTTCGAAATAAACAAATCATGCCACGTCCAATACGCATCTGGTAGCCTAAATTTTTTTCAAAAGGGGCCCGTATTTTTTAAACCATTTCTACACTAATGCAGTAGTCGATAATTTAAAATTTTTTCTACTTTTTGTAAATGAAAACTCAAAGTGAAGGCAAAAGAGATGAAGAAGGGCCGGAGACGGACTAATGAACAGAGAAAAGTTTTTTTTATGCCAGGAATATCGTCTGGTTTATTCTTTACCTTTTTGGGAAATGGCATCTTTAAATTTGGTAAAATTTGGGGAAAAATTTGCCAATTTCCTCCACTTTATTGGATATTAAATCATAAATGGGGGGTTTCTTGACCATTCGATAGAAAAAGTGGAGTTCTAGAAAAATAGTTTGATTTTGTAAACTACACCGGAACGGGCCCGAAAATAGGCTCAAATTGGGTGAAACGCCGATGCGTAAACATCGAGACCGCAAATTTTCGCGGAGCATTTCCCTTAAGTTTTTCCCCAAAATTTTGTATTTTAGTGTCATTATTTTGGGGAAAAGATTTCAACCATTTCAAAGAAAAAAATAATTTTTTTTTCTGAATTTTCGACCCTGAGATCAAGTTTGGGAAAGGGGCCCCTCCCCTTAAAGGGTTAATGTACACAAAAATGAAAGAAATAGGACCATAAAAAACGGATTACTTCTCAGCCATTACCTCCCCCCCCCCCCCCGGTATTTTTTCATATGGTATTTAGGGTTGTTTTCTTGTTTTATTTGGGCTCATGTGATTTAAGGAAAATTTACTACAAAAAAAAAATACAAATGATTTAATTGGGTTTTATGATGAAAGGGACCTTGAAATTTAGCTCAAAAGAGCAAAAATGTTCAATTCTTTGGCACACAGGGGAGACATCATGAGGCAGCAGGGCAAAATTACTTAAGAGTGTAGCACTTATAAGTCACTCTGACTTTTTTGGGTTTCCCAGGTTCTCAAAACAGATCAGGGCAGGAATGGCCGCTGTGGGGGGCCCTAAAACCCCAACAAAATGGCTGCTGTCACCACCACAGCCAATACCTAATGACAAATTTTTTTCATTAAATGAACAAAGATAATTATTATTTTTCAGTTAGATAAGAAGGGAAATTTGGGGCACCTAGGTCGCAAAAAATGTCCCCTTTTGATACCTACAACTGTCATAGCCACAAGTTGCTCTGGACCCATTAATTATAAATGAAATATGTATCACCAGGGAATTCTGGGAAATAATTTTAAAATTTTTGGACTTATATTAAATTAAAAAATATAATATATACACATAACATAACAAAGGAAAATAATTAATATCACTCACCAATTTTACTGGGGAAATTTAAAGTGACACACTCAGAAAAACCCCACTGTCTATCTACGAAAAAAAACTGGCCAGGGTTTCTAAAAAAACTTATCTGAGGTTCCTGGGGTTCCCTTTCCAGTCGCCTGATATCTCAATTACAGGAACACACCAACAATTTTGCCCCTATTTAGAGGTGTCAACCAATTTTCCTCTAGAGCACGAAAATTCTTTACATTATTTAAATTTAAAATCTTTTACTCAATTCCCCCCAAAAAACAAACAATGGGGGGTGTCCTTCTGCGCAGGGGCGCTTCCCGTTTTTGATAACATAAATTTTATTAAATACAGAAAGGGCCCTCTATTTACATATAACACTTTTTTCTGGAAAAAAATAACAGTATTTCCACAGTGTAAAATCATTTTCTATGTTTTAAAAATTGTTTATTATGTCAATTACATGAATGTGATAGATAAATAAGCAAAACTGTAATTTTTATTAGGGAAATTATTAAGATTTTTTTCATGCCCGGAATTCCACGGGAAAAATTAATTCCTTTCAATTTAAATTTAAATGGGAAAATTGACTCTACAAACGAGCAAAACCCTTGCAAACAAGCCCGGAACGGATTTAAAATCGTAAGTTTTAGTTTCCACTTATTTTAAATGAGCATGTGTAAATCACCACTTTAGGCTTTTTTATACTCTTCTTATGATGTTATACACAAAATTACTATACTCTTTTTTTCTTATAGAAAGTAATTTTATACAAGGTGCCATTATAGTCATCTTTTATGATGCTGGTTCGTATGCCACCTCCAGGACTTGAGTCTTGGAGGTGGGAAGCACGATGCCTGCACTTTAAAAGAGGGGTTTGGGATGCTTGTGTTTGGAGTGACATCTGAACTGTCATATCTGCACTCCTCTGCAAAGACAGTGTGTGAATGATGGTGAAAGCGTTTTTATTTTTGGGGTCACCCAGCCTCGGTGGGAGATGGCCAGTGTGTTGGGAAAAAATCTCAATTAAATTTTTTCTTAAAATTTTGTGTCTTACTAGATTTTCATTATTTTCTGTTTTCTTGAGCATTAACTTTTTTCACTGCTACCTCTCCATGCTGTTGTATGAAATTTTTTAAATTTCATTTTATATTGTGGATATATAATTATCTATTGTTCATTATTTAGATTCCAAGGAAGAGCTATAGAGATAAATGGTATAAAATGCCAACACATTGAAAAATAAACACATAAGAAGTATAATGTGATCCTTTAATAACAACGTTTTGCTCACACAATGGGCTTTATCAAGTCACAAACAGATCTACCTGGGTGAAAGGTACGTGAGTATTTATAGGATGGAGTCAGGTGGAGAGTGCTGGGTAGGGTGGATCTGAACCTGCATGTGACAATCTTCCAAGTTAGATGATAGTGTCTAGGACCTTGGGCAGCTTTAAAAAAAGATTGGACAAGTATATGAGTAGACCTTCTGCAATGTTCCTCCATTCTTATGCCAAGAAACTTCTTCATCGTTATCCCACGTAAGAACATAAGAATGGAGGAACACTGCATAAGGTCTACTCACATACTTGGTCAATCTCTTTTTAAAGCTGCCCAAGGTCTTAGACAATATCACCCTACTCAGAAGATGGTCACATGCAAGTTCAGGTCCAACCTACCCAGCATTCTCCACTTGACTCCATCCTATAAATATACTCACATACCTTTAACTCAGGAAGATCTGTTTGTGACTTAATAAAGCCCAGTGTGTGGGTGAAACATTATCAATAAAGGATTACATTATACTGCTTATGTGTTTATTTTTCCAAGACCTATAGAGTTTGGTCTGCCTTTTACCATGAGAATGACTGTAAATAACTATATTGTATTAACATTTGAACCCATGTGTTAGGTCTTCTATTATGTAACTGTCTACCTTTGATATACGTACCTTTGAAGAGTTTTGTTAGTTTCACTACTATCGGAGCCTGGCCATGAGCCAGGCTCATCTGGTGCTTAGCTGGTCAACCAGGCTGTTGCTGCTAGAGGCCCTTTGCCCCACATATCCATCACAGCCTGGTTTATCTGGCACCTGGTGAAGATACTTATCCAGTTTCCTCTTGAAGGTTCCTACACTTGTTCCAGCTATGTTTCTGATATTTTCTGGTAAGATGTTGAATAGTCTGGGACCCCGGATGTTGATACAGTGTTCCCTTATTGTCCCCACCACACCCTTTCTCCTCACTGGGTTTATTTTGCACCTCCTATATCTCTCACTCCAGTATGTTATGGCAGTGTGCAGATTTGGGACCATGCCCTTGAGTACTTTCCAGGTATTTATTATCATGTATATCTCTCTTTCTCTCTCCTCTGCTCCAATGAGTACATGTTCAAGACTTAAAGGCATTCCCTGTCATTTAGGTGCTGTACTGGCTCTGTGTGAGCCAGCTCTGATATTTCTCCTGCTTTGAATGGGGCCATCTGCACTGAGCAATATTCTAAGTAAGGGAGCACTAGTGATTTGAAGAGTGTCACCATCGGCATTATTTCCCTTGTTTTGAAAGTTCTCAATACCCACCCCATCATCTTCCTGGCTGTTGTCTAGCTTTTTTTTATCTTTTCTAGTCTTTCTGTTGAGGAATTAATTACCTCTTACTCTTCTTTCCTGCCTTTCCTTTTTTTCCTCACATTTCATTTTGCTACTGCCAAACATTTATTTATATATATTTTTTTTACCCTTTTTAGACGCTCGGAAATCCAGAATCTTAGCTCATCTCTTGTTGGCAACGAGATACTGATGATTGATGGCCTGCTTGAAGACACAGTTGGAGGGTCAGGTGGAAGCATAGGCAAGGCATGGGAGAAAGAGGGTGGCAGTGGAATGTATCCTCCTCCCTCACTCCATGCTGTCTTGGCCACCTTTCTCCTCCCTGATGTATCTACCACCACCAAACATCGGATTGTTCAGTATCTTTTTCTTGATCTTGCATCCCTCTTATCTGATGGGTAAGTTCATAATAAACGTTGAGTTAAAGAATCAAATTGAAGTTTGTGATAATTTCCAAAAGAAATTGTAAAACCAAATGAAATAACATGTAAATATAGCTACTCCATTTGAGTGGAATGTGCTGCCTCCCTGTTGCCTGTTAGGATGGTACCTACTATCTTGTAGCATTGCCACCTTGTACTTCTCCCACTATATAGTAGCATGGCATCTGCTGCCTATTCCCACTGTTTACTAGGATGGTACCTGCTGCCTCTTCTCACTACTTAGTAAATTTAATCCTCCTCCTCCTACATGGCAGAATGGTACCTCCTAGGGAGTTCTAAGTCAAGACAACCAATATTTTGAGGATTTAATACCATGCCACTCCTGTGCTCTTCTGAGCTCATGACTGGAAATCTTAGCTCAGACTGAGTTATGATCTAGGTCGATTTGAGGTCACAGGTCTCACCATTTCTTTTTTTTAAATACTGGCCATTTCTCACTGTGAATAAATAATCATTGTTTACCTGTTAGACTATATTGATCTGAATTCGGCAGAGTACAGGGATTTCATTGATGTAAGTTTTATATCTCTAGGTCAGAAATTTAATATTTGACATTTTGACTTAGTTTAAGAGGTCACCTTATGAACTTTAAGGTATCACCTGTTACAAAAAATTATGTAACTTAAAATAGTCTGATGTATTTGTTAGAAGAAACTAAAATAAAAACTGTGTTCATGTATACTCTGCTCAGTTTATGCAAGTATAGTGTATGGGGTATTCTCTAGCATGTACACAGTTATTGCTATTTCTTTTAGATAATACATACAACTTTTTTGCATGTTAAATAACTTATTTGTACAGTGGCCTAGACTAGGGCAAGACATTGAACATTCAAATTCTAACCTAGAAAAATAATTTGTAGTTTAATGAAGTCCATGTACTCTGCTGATTCCATATTTTTATTACATAACAGGTATATGATGGTAATTGCCCAAGTTATGGTGTTTGAATAAAATGCTTAGTCCTTTGTAGGGGTGTGCAAAGTATAAGTATCGGTGGGCACTGGCTAATTTTGATGGTATCAGTATTGAACTAAAATAGAGTACAGGTATTGGTGGGTATTTGCTAATTTTGATGGTATCAGAAATGGCGGGCATCAGCTTATCTTTATGGTATCAGTCTAAAATTCAGTATCTATATTGGCAAAAATATTTGATATTATTCCATAACTAGTCCTCTGACCTCAGAATTAGCTAGGTCATAATTCTTGACCAATAAGTCAGACTGAGTTAACATTTAGTATTAAGTTTAGAGCACTGGATAATGTTGAATACTGAATTTGAAGATAACTGGAGAGACTAGGATGTTAGACACTGTCTTGTCCTGGATGTGCTCTGTTGTCTTCATCCACTACCTAGAAGGTTGATACCTGATACCTCCTCCCACTATCTCATAGGATGGTACCTGATGCCTCCTCCCACCACCTCACTGGTTGGTACCCAATACCTCCTTCCACTACCTCAAGAGGATGGTACCGAGTGCCACCTCCCTCTACCTCATAGGATGGTACCTGATGCCTCCTCATTGCCTAGTACCATGGGACCTGATGCCTCCTCCTTCCTAGTAGGATGGTACCCAATGCCTGTTCCCACTACCTAGTAGATGATATATGATGCCTATTCCCACTACCTAGTAGATGGTACATGATGCCTGTTTCCACTACCTAGTAGATGGTACATGATGCCTATTCTCACTACCTACTAGGATGATATCCAATGCCTCCACCTGCTTCCACTGCTTGAAACAATAACACTTGCTGCCAGTTATATTTTGAATTGATAGACTGAAAAGTAAATAAATCAGACCCATTACAATATTATATATTTTTTAAGCTAAGAGGCATGTAATGAAAGATTTCGTGAAGCTAGTGTTAAAAGTATTACAAGTTACAATATTAATTTACATGAGAAGTAAATGTATCACCCTCCAACAGGTATGTCAGAATTGTAGAGGAACTTGTGAAATATCCCTCCAGTTTTTCACTGTCGCCATCACATATAAAGCTAACACAGGCCTTCTGGCTTTTGGATCATAAAGATTTTCAGGTGAGTTAATAGTATTACACAACATTGGTTATAACTAATTTATAAGTGTTCTTTGGGAAAGAAGATGAGCTCTAGCTTTTGAATTTGATATTTTATTGTGACATGAATAAACTTAAAGCTTTATTTATGACCCCTAATGAGGAGTCATATTTTACTGCACAATTGTCTAATTTGTTCTCTATTTCCTGATGTGAGTGTTATTTGATTTAGTGTAAAATTTTCATTGATGTCCCCTTGTTTTGGAGCCTGTGCTGGTAATGGTTAATATATTTAGAAACTGATAAAACCTAAAAGAATGATAACCAATACAGATTCTTATTCATCATGCCTGTGTACTAGGTACAGGCACCTAAAGTCAGTGCCTGACCAGCCGGGCTGTGGTTTGTACGTCAGTTTGCGTGCAACCAGCAGTAACAGGCCTGGTCTCAGACCAGGCTGGGGGGGTGTTGACCCCCAAAATCCTCTCCAGGTATACCATTTCTCACATGTGAAGATTTCAGAATGACTTGCTTATGAAGCCTGTTGACTGGATTATCATATTCAGTAGTGTGTTTTTAATACTTTTGAGTACCTTTCGTGATTGGGCAGTACTTAGGCAAAATGCCTAAAATAAAACATGCATCATATATTAAATGTCTTAAGTTTATGGATATACAGGATATATGTATGTTTGAATTTATGTTGGGTACCTTTTTGAAAATTTCAGACATGTACTCAGTTTTGAGAAATACTTGACTGTGTTCAGAGCAATGCCTTCTTTGCTCACCCTAAGAATATTCTGTTGAGCATGATCCATGAAGTAGCAAAGTACGTCAGAGAGTTGGATCAGAGGAAGATTCTGAATGGTAGAGAGTGCAAGCCTGACACCGTCAGAACATTCAAGGTGTATATGTTGAACTTTGAAAATGGTTATTGAAGTATGATAAACTGGCAATCCTGTGAGGTGATGGAGCCACCTCTAACCAAACGCTTCATGCATTTTGATTAGCCAAGTACAATATTATTTTGTGTCACTCAAGCCATAGAATGGCATACTTTGCTGGTAACAGAAACTTCAGCTTAAGCCTTTAGGCAAGAATCCAGAATAAAATCTAGTGCAAAAATATCAAAGTTAGAAACTAAAAGTGACAACTGTATGAAATAATATTACTTCAGTACAGTGGACCCCCGCTTAACGATCACCTCCAAATGCGACCAATTATGTAAGTGTATTTATGTAAGTGCGTTTGTACGTGTATGTTTGGGGGTCTGAAATGGACTAATCTACTTCACAATATTCCTTATGGGAAAAAATTCGGTCAGTACTGGCACCTGAACATACTACTGGAATGAAAAAAGTTCGTTAACCGGGGGTCCACTGTATTATCGTTGGGTTAGGCAGGGTGGACCATGACAAAATAAGTCAAGAGCTGCATATATTCAAGGTGGTCAAATGATTTTCTCTATTTTGAGATAGCAGAAGCAGCACCTAAAGTTATAGTTGTATGAATCTAAGATAAGTCGTAATAGACAACTCTCAATAAATAAATGGAAAAATGATGGGAATTCAAACCATGGTCCTGAATGGTAGTAAGTTCAGCACTCTACCACTGGGTTATGAGGCTATATGGCTTTGAGAATAAATCTGCTATAAGGCTACTGGAGGTATGGGAAAGGGTAGTTGGATCACAGATGGTGGCCTCTCATGCAGACATAACACATGAGTGCTGACTATGAAATTTTCCTATTAGAAGTCTTGTGGAGTACTGGACCTCTTAACATTCAGGACTACAGTTTGAATCCCTGCCCATTCTTCTGTTTATTTGTAATGTATGTCAGCAGGATTTTTAACATGGTTTAAAATGCATCACCAGAATATTATTCCTTGTTATTAAATGAGAAGGGAATAATTATAGGTTAGTTGCATCTAGGAATGAGGCATTAGAGGAACTATAAATAGACAAGTTGAGAAAACACTTGGAACTTATATTTCTTCATCTTTCTTTCAACAAACCGGCCATAACTGAGGAAGGGTGGCCCAAAAAGAAAAGTAAAAGTTTTTTGTTTTTTTCCAACAAGTCGGACATCTCCCACTGAGGCAGGGTGACCCAAAAAAGAAAGAAAATCCCCAAAAAGAAAATACTTTCATCATCATTCAACACATTCACCTCACTCACACATAATCACTGTTTTTGCAGAGGTGCCCAGAATACAGCAGTTTAGAAGTAGTATATACGTATAAAAATACACAATATATACCTCCAAACTGCCAATATCCCAAACCCCTCCTTTAGAGTGCAGGCATTGTATTTCCCATTTCCAGGACTCAAGTCCGGTTATATAAAATAACCGGTTTCCCTGAATCGCCTCACTAAATATTACCCTGCTCATACTACAACAGCTCGTCAGGTCCCAAATACCATTTGTCTCCATTCACTCCTATCTAACACGCTCACGTACGCTTGCTGGAAGTCCAAACCCCTCGCCCACAACACCTCCTTTACCCCCTCCCTCCAACCTTTTCGAGGATGACCCCTACCCCGCCTTCCTTCCCCTATAGATTTATACGCTCTCCATGTCATTCTACTTTCATCCATTCTCTCTGAATGACCAAACCACCTCAACAAACCCTCTTCAGCCCTCTGACTAATACTTTTATTAACTCCACACCTCCTAATTTCCACACTCTGAATTTTCTGCATAATATTTACACCACACATTGTGATTAGACAGGACATCTCCACTGCCTCCAACTGCCTCCTTGCTGCAGCATTTGCAACCCAAGCTTCACGCCCGTATAAGAGTGTTGGTACTACTATACTTTCATACATTCCCTTCTTTGCCTCCATAGATAACATTTTTTGCCTCCACATATACCTCAGTGCACCACTCACCTTTTTTCCTTCATCAATTCTATGATTAACCTCATCCTTCATAAATCCATCTGCTGACACATCAACTCCAAAATATTTGAAAACATTCACTTCTTCCATACTCCTCCTCCCCAATTTGATATCCAATTTTCTTTATCTAAATCATTTGATACTCTCATCACCTTACTCTTTTCTGTGTTCACTTTCAACTTTCTACCTTTACACACACTCCCAAATTCGTCCACTAATCTTTGCAGTTTTTCTTTAGAATCTCCCATAAGCACAGTATCATCAGCAAAAAGTAACTGTCACTTCCCATTTTGTATTTAATTCCCCATAATTTAATCCCACCCCTCTCCCAAACACACTAGCATTTACTTCTTTTACAACCCATCTATAAATATATTAAACAACCATGGTGACATTAAACATCCCTGTCTAAGACCTACTTTTACTGGGAAATAGTCTCCCTCTCTTCTACACACACTAACCTGAGCCTCACTATCCTAATAAAAACTCTTTACAGCATTTAGTAACTTGCCGCCTATTCTATATGCACCTACCATCCGACTTACGACCGAGCTCGGTTCTGACCAACTGGTCTTAAGTCAAAATGGACGTAAGTCGAACTTTACTACTGAATATCAACATCACATTTTTGAAATGACTTTATCTTATTGTTTTATTTTGGTATTTCTAGGTAGTAGGTTGGTAGACAGCAACCACCCAGGGAGGTACTACCGTCCTGCCAAGTGAGTGTGAAACGAAAGCCTGTAATTGTTTTACATGATGGTAGGAGTGCTGGTGTCTTATGTCTGTCTCATAAATATGGAAGATTGCAGGTATGTCTTGCTACTTTTACTTACACTTAGGTCACACTACACACACATGTACATGTTTAGTTATACACACTCATCTGAGTTTTCTTTGATTTTATCTTAATAGTTCTTGGTCTTATTACTTTTCCTTTTATATCCATGGGGAAGTGGAATAAGAATCTTTCCTCCATAAGCCATGCGTGTTGTAAAAGTCAACTAAAATGCCGGGAACAATAGGCTAGTAACCCCTTTTCCTGTAATAATTACTAAAAAGAAAAAGAAGAAAATTGTCAAAGTGGGAAGTGTGAATGTGCATGGATATTGTGCAAATGATAAGAAAGAGATGATTGTGTATGTTATGAATGAGAAGAAGCTGGATGTCCTGGCTTTAAGTGAAACAAAGCTGAAGGAGGAAGCAGAGTTCAAGTGAAGAGGAATAAATGGGATTAGGTCAGGGGTTTCAAATAGAGTTAGAGCTAAAGAAGGAGTAGCAATAATGTTGAAGGATAAGTTATGGCAGGAAAAGAGGGACTATAAATGTATTAATTCAAGGATTATGTGGAGTAAAATAAAGGTTTGATGTGTAAAGTGGGTTATAGTAAGCGCATATGCACCTGGAGAAGAGAGAAGTGTAGAGGAGAGAGAGATTTTGGGAAATGTTGAGTGAATGCGTGGAGAGTTTTGAACCAAGTGTGAGAGTAATGGTGGTTGGGGATTTCAATGCTAAAGTGGGCAAAAATGTTGTGGAGGGAGTAGTAGGTAAATTTGGGGTGCCAGAGGTAAATGAAAATGGGGAGCCTTTAATTGAGCTATGTGTAGAAAGAGGTTTGGTAATAAGTAATACATATTTTATGAAGAAGAGGATAAATAAATATACAAGGTATGATGTAGCACATAATGAAAGTAGTTTGTTAGATTATGTATTGGTGGATAAAAGGTTGATGGGTAGGCTCCAGGATGTACACGTTTATAGAGGGGCAACTGATATATCGGATCATAATTTAGTTGTAGCTACAGTTAGTGTAAGACGTAGATGGGAAAAGAGGAAAATGGCAACAACAAGCAAGAGGGAGGTGAAAGCGTATAAACTAAAGGAGGAGGAAGTTCGGGTGAGATATAAGCAACTATTGGCAGAAAGGTGGGGTGGCGCAAGTATGAGTAGTGGGGAGTTTGAAGAGGGTTGGAATAGTTTTAAAATTGCAGTATTAGAATGTGGGGCAGAAGTGTGTGGTTATAGGAGGGTGGGTGCAGGAGGGAAGAGGAGTGATTGGTGGAATGATGAAGTAAAGGGCATGATAAAAGAGAAAAAAAGTAGATTATGAGAGGTTTT